AAATTTGGGTTTTTCGCAAAATAAAAGTCAAGGCTGGAGATATGGTTCAATAATAGAGCACTTGTTTATCTGTCTAGCATGTATGAACTCTGTGAGGCCCTGGGTTCAAAACGGGGTGGGCGGGGGGTGTAAAAATAAGCACAATGTGGTGTTTCAACAGTGCCACCTATTGGTAAAAATGTAAATTGAAAGTAAAAAATAACCCCTCTATTAGAACAGATTTTTTTTTTTTAAGTTTTAATTTTTACTGAGTTTTTGTATAGGTCATAGTTCATGTGGCTCAAACATGCAGTGTTCACTTGCATTCCTATCTACCAGTTGCCTTCTCCATAGGTAAACCAGTTTCTTATATAGCTTCCCAAAGGTGTGTGTGTGTGTGTGTGTGTGTGTGTGTGTGTGTGTGTGTATCTTCTGGGCATTAAAGAGAAAATTCTCAAATACACATTTTTTTCCCTTCCCCTGTTTTTCACATAGATGATAGCATACTAGATATATTTCATTTCCCCTAATAAAACCTGAAGATTATATATTCCAAATAAAAATAACTATAAAATGCAGTCACATTGTATAGATTGATTTTAGTCATTTATTGATGGACATTTAAGTTGGTTCTAATCTTTCTCTTAAAACAGTGCTACAATGGCTAACATATTACTGTCATTTTAAAATAATTGCATTGAATTGAAATTTGTGTGCCACAAAATTCACCTATTTTTAAGTGATTCACCTGTTCTCAGAATTTTTAGCAAATTTACCCTTCACCATTACCATAATTCAGTCTTAGAACATTTCCTTATAACATCATTCTCTTAAGATGTGCTGTTTTGCCATCTCTCTGTTCTCACCCTCAGCCCCAGGTAACCACAAATCTTTTCTGATTTTTGTTTTGTTTTGTCTTGTTTTTTGTTTGTTTGTTACCAGGTACTGAACCCAGGGGCGCTTAACCACTGAACACCCCAAGCCATTTTTGTTTATTATTTTGAGACAAGATCTCAATAAGTTGCTTAGGCCTCACTTAAATTGCTGAGGCTGGCCTCAAACTTGCATATCCTCTTTTCTCAGCCTCCTGAGTTGCTGGGATTGCAGTGTGCACCACCACACCCAGCCTTTTCTGAACATTTCATATAAATGGAATCAGCATGAAATCTTTACATCCTTTAGTATGTTTTCAGGGTTCATCCATGTTATAACATGTTTCAGAATTTTGTTTCATTGTTGCTGAAATTAATTTTATGGATACTCCACATTTTGTTTATCCATTCACCAATAAATGGACATTTGGGTTGTTTCCATTTTTGCCTATTATAAATAATGCTAATATGTACATTCTCAAGCAATTCTTTGTGTAAATATGTTTTCAATTTTCTGGGTTAGATAACTAGAAGTGAAGAATTTCTAGATTACATGTCAAATTCATGTTTAACATTTTAAGAAACTGCCAATTTTTTTCCCAAACTGGCCAAACTATCTTACATTCCCATCAACAATGTATAAGGGCCACTGTTTTTCTGTATCCTCACCAATATTTATCACTGTCCATTTTTAAAAATATTTTTAATTGTCAATGGATCTTTATTTATTTATATGTGGTACTCAGAATTGAACCCTCTGCCTCACACATGCTAGGCAAGTGCTCTACCACTGAGCCATGACCCCAGCCCTTATCACTGTCCATTTTAAAATAGTTATTTTAGTGGATATAAAATAATATCATAGCCTTTGGGGGTAGGTACCAGGGATTGAACTCAGGGGTAGTCAACCACTGAGCCACATCCCCAGCCATACTTTGTATTTTATTTAGAGACAGGGTCTCCCTGAGTTGCTTAGCAGCTCACTTTTGCTGAGGCTGGCTTTGAACTTGCCATCCTCCTGCCTTAGCCTCCTGAGCCGCTGGAATTACAGGCATGCACCACCACACCCAGCAATACCATAGTCTTAATATGCATTTCCTTAATGGCTAATGAACATCTATTCATGAATTTATTAGCTGTTCATATGTCTTTAGTGAAATGTCTATTTAGATCTTTTGCCCATTTTTAATTGGTTTGTTTATCTTCTTACCATTCAGTTGAAAAAGTTCTTTACATATTTTTTAATACAAATTCTTTATCAAATACATAATTTGGAAATATTTTCTGCAGTTTTTTCCACTTTTTTTTTTTTGGTACTGGAAATTGAACCCAGGGACTCTACCACTGAGCTACATCCCCAGCACTTTTTAAAATTTTTTTGAGATGGAGTCTGTCAAAATTGCCCAGGAAATTTTACAATCTTCCTTTTCAGTCTTCCAAGTATCTGGGACTACAGGAGTGTACCACCAAATCCAGCACTTTTCACTTACCTCCATGGTATCAAATCCAGGGCCTCACACATATTGGTACAAGCCAACACTCTGAATTATACCCCTCAGCCTTCCCCATCCCCCTTTTTAAAGGGTCTAAATTGCGTAGACCGACCTTGAACTTGCAATCTTCCTGCTTCAAAGACCCAAGAAACTGAGATTACTGGCGTGTGTCACTGCACCTAGCTGTGTTGCATTTCCCCACTCCCTGCCCCCCAGGTACTGAGGATTGAATCCAGGACCTTGTGCCAGCTGGGCAAGCACTCTACCACTGAGCTAGACCCCAGCTCTAATGATTATATTTGTGATGTCATCTCTAAGAAGTTTTTGCCAAATCCATGATCACTAAGATTTTTCTCCTGCCTTATTTTTATAATTTTTAGTTTTATTGTTTTAGCTCTAATGATAAATGTCATTTTGAACAAGCTTAAAGATTATTTATAACAAGAACAAATAAATGAAATTGTTGAACCATCATGCATTTGCATTGTAGTTTTATTAAATGTTGACAAAAGTGTACTTCATAGAGGTTATACTAATATACACTACCAATAACAATAAACAAAAGTGCTTGTTACTCCACACATCATATATTGTTAAAATATTTGAACTGTGCCAGACAGGGTCTCGCTGAGTTACTGAGGACCTCACTAGATTGCTGAAGCTTTGAACTCATGATCCCCCTTCCTCAACCTCCTGAGCTGCTGGGATTACAGACGTGTGCTACCACAACCAGCAATCCCCAGCTCTTTTTTATTTTTAATTTTGATGCAGTCTCACAAAATTGACCAGGCTAGCCTAGAACTTGCAATCCTAGTAGCTAGATTACAGGCATGTTCCATAGAACCCACTTTTAAGCCAGATAGATAGCTGCCTAGATATTCCAGAAATATTTATTGAATAATCTATCTTGCACCCATTAATTTATTTTATTTTGCAGTGTTGGTGATTGAGCCCAAAGTCTTCTGTACATTAGACAAGGGCTCTACTACTGCAACATCCCCAGTTAAATACTATGTTACAACTCCACTCTCAAAGGATTATAAGTTTCAGGAAGGAAAAAAAACCTGGTGTTTTTTTTTTTTTTTTTTTTTCACTATGTTATCTCAAGGAACCAGAACAGTGTAGGCATTCTAAAGACTGCATAATGCTTTTTGTGTGTATGTGGTTAAAATATGCATAATATAAAACTTATCATTTTAACAAGTCTTAAGTATACTATTCAATGACATTAAATACCTTCACATTGCCGTACAGCTATCACCAATATATGTTTCCAGAACTTCTTCATCATCCTGAACAAAAATCCTGTATTCATTAGAAAACAATTACCCACTCCTTTCTCCACCATCCCTTGGTAATCTTTATTCTACTGACTGACTCTATGACTTTGCCTATTATGGGTACTACATGTAAGTTGAATCATATAGAATTGTCATATATGACTAATTTCACATAGCATGATGTTTTCAAAGTCCATCCATGTGGTGGCATGCATTTATTCCTTTTAAAGATCAAATGATAGTCTGCAGTATTTATATATTTTGTCTATCATTTATTTGTAGGTAGACATTCAGGGTTTTTTTTTTTTTTTCTCTTTTGGTTATTATGAATAATGCTACTATGAACACGGGTGTCCAAGTGCCAGTTAAGTCCCTGCTTTCAATTCTTTTGAGCATCTGTTTTGAAGTGGAATTGCTGGGTCATATGATAATACTATGTTTAACTTTTTGAGAAACCATCAAACTGTTTTCCAAGTGGTGCATTTTTTTACATCCCCATCAGAATTGCATAAGCTTCCAACTTAACATCTTCACCAACATCTGTCTTCTATTTTTTTGATAAAACCCATCAATAGTAGTAGTGAAGCAGTATCTTATTACAGTTTTGATCATCATTTCCCCAATGACTACTGATGTTAGGTATCTTCTTTGTAGCAATATCTAATCAAGTGTTTCACCCATCTGTGAATTAGATTGTTTGGTATTTTGTCAATGTATTGTAGGAGTTCTTTATATATTCTTGATATTAATCCTTTATCACATATATGGCTTACAAAATTTTTCTCATTCTATGAATTGTCTTTTCACTTGCACAGTGCTTCTATTTTTAAAAGTATGCAGCTCCCATTACTCTTGCATATTTCAAAACGAACCTGTGGATTGTATGCTGTTGCCACTGTAAAATCCAATTTTTAAAAAAATCGTACATTACCTGGCACCTACACATGCTCAAATCTTAGTTGTTACTGCTGTCATTGTTACTGCTTCACAAATAATAATCTACGAAAAGTTACAGAAACTGCTTCGGAAAGGTATGGTACCAGTGGGAAAATCCCTACAGAGTTTACGACCAGAGCCAGAGATCACAAAGTTATATCTGCGCTAGATGCTACGATTTCCAAAGACCACCCTCATATACCACTAACTTCCAAACCACTTCGCCCAACAGACCCCACCTCCGACCCCAACCCGATCCCAGGGCCATTTTCGGCCACTTCCGCCCCGCCCCAGCAGGCTTCAAACAAGCTAGCGCGTGCGCAGTGGGGGTGTTTGCGTGCCATTTGTCTGCAAGGGCGGACGCATCCCGCTTCCGGCGCGGAGGTGAGAGTCCACACGCCCAGGCGCTTAGTGATGATGTCAGCTCCGGTTGCCATGCTGAGTCGGAAGTGGGAACCCTTTGGCCCCTGAGACTGTCGTGTCGTCGCTGCTGGCCCTTCAGGCTCTGGTAAGAGAGAACTTAGCTTGAGGGTAGGGGACCGTTGAGTCTTCAGTGGCAGCTTTTCTCCCAGTCGAATGCCAGCACAGGCCTCTTCCAAATTCCTTCTCCTGTGCATTTCTAACCAGAGACCCTCTCCCCTTCGTGAACTTTGACCCTGATTCGGAAACCTTTACATTGCTCCAACTTCTAATTTCTCAGCACATTTCTGTCCCCCTTTGCAACACCTCTCCTGGAAAAGGCCAGAATATCTTTTGACTTCCTTTCTCTAAAACATGCTCCCTGAGGGTGGGTCTCCCTCCTCCCAGTGAATCCCTTATGGAATCCGGAGGGATAAAATATAGAATAAACAATAGATAGCCATATGCCAAGAGGGTTAAATTAAGCACCAGACATAGTGATCAAACCAGTTGAGTACTTATGGCAAAATATTGACAGTTCTTAAGGCAAATGATGGGCTCCTGGCACTCTGCTTCATGTTTTGTTGGGTTCAGAGGACAGTCCTAAAATTGATCACAGCTCAGGAGCTAATGTTTAATGGGTATTCCCTTTGGGATCAGTTTTTTACGTCCAGAGCAGAAATGTCTTTAGCTTCACCATCATTAACTGTTTGGGTACCACAGTTCTTACTTGATAAGGTCTTTCTAGCTTGCATACAGATGTGTTGAAAGGATTTGTTGCTACTTTAGCATCACCTGAAAGTATTATTGGGTAGAATATATTACACTGGTAGCATTTTTTATACCTATTTTTATTTGATGTATTGTTTATTCTTTGTAAGAACAGAGACTTTACAGGATTGACTTAAAAGAGTGTGATTTGTTTGTTTATGTATGTATGTATGTGTATATATATATATATATATATATGTATATTGTGGTGTATAGGATTGAACCCAGGTCTCACACTTGCTAGGCAAACACTGTACCTCTGAGCTACACCTACAGCTCACAAGCCTTGATTTTAACAATTCAAGTTTTACAAAGTGTTTCAAATATTTCTGTTTAAACATAGTGTCAACTGGGGTTTTAAAACATTTGGGTGCTCACAAGAGCTGACAGTGGCCATTAAAGGATTATTAGCACTGCTTATAAACAAACTTGATTCTGGGGAGGGTGAAAGAATTCTATAGAACCAGAGGTAGATATATATAGATGTAGACCCTTTCAGTGGGTATACATTGTAAAATTTGTTTTCAAGGAGGGCTTATTCAGAAATATTCAAAATCAAATTCAAAAGCTTCTGAAGATTATTAGTTGTACCACACCAAAGACTGACAACAGGATAGTGTTGTATCTCTGTATGGAAATTGAAAATACGAGGATTAAAATAGGGCATTATTGAATATTAAAACAAAATATCAAGGTTCCATTTTAAAAGACCTTTCTTTTGGAGTGGGTGATATCTAGGTACTCTTATTTACTTTGTAAGTTCATTGAATAAATCTAAGCCAGTATCTCCACAAAGGTTCTCCTCAAGCGATCAGTCCTCCTTTTTCCTGTAAGCAGTTAATGCAGTTTAGCCTTTTTTCTATGAAGAATTTGCATAGATATTAAGTACATATGAAAAAGATGAGCTTATCCAGGTGCCGTGGCACACACTTGTAATCCCACCAACTTAGGATGCTGAGAGAGGAGGAGTGCAAGTTCAAGGCCAGCCTCAGCAACTTTATGAGGCCCTAAGCAATTTAGAGATCCTGTTGCCAAATAAAAATAACAAGAGCTGGGGGATGTAACTCAGTGGTGAAGTGCCTCTGGGTTAAATCCCCAGGTACCACCACCCCACCACCACCAAAAGAAAGAAAGGAAAGGAGGAAGTAAGTTGTTCAGAGAGGTAGGCATAAACCTTTTTTGTTTTCAACAGACATTTGAGATAACAGATATATTTTCATTCTTAATTCTACACATCTTTAGAAACAAAAGAGCCACAGTGCCTGGTCTGTAACTTGCCTTCCACTGCATTCCCAAGACAAGGAGTAAAGCCCTTAACCTTGAAGTAGGATCATGAGTAATGCTATTGATGACAAGGGGTTCAGGAATAATTACATGTCAGATTGAGTCATTCAATAAATATCTACTTAGGATTTTGTGATTGTGAAGTATAATTCCAACATGAAGAAAAATTAATCAGATATGAACCTGTACTCCAAGAGTTTACAGTTTAGTAAAGCAGAAAATCTGCTTAGGGATACAATATAGAAAGTTGAAACTCTCAGGAAAAAATATAGATAAAGTTGTAATAGAAAAGTAGCAGTTCTATATAATGGGGCAGAGAAGTGTTGAGAAAGAAGGACATAATGCCATATATGGTGATAAATGCTCTATTTCTGTGTGTGGTCTTGAGAGCCTGTGCCATATATTCTGTATTCCTGGCTTTCAGATTCCTTTCTGCATGATGGTGCATCTTCTTTGCAATGATCTGGACTCTTCAGCGTTTTTTTGTTTTTTCTTTTTTTTTAATGTTCAAACTGGCTTATGCAATTTAGAGGAATGTATTGAATTTTATAACTGAGAAGTGTGGAAAACTTTCTCTTTCCATCTCTCAACTGTTTTTCTCTTTGTTAATTTAGTAAGATCAGCCTTTTTAAATATTGTGAAGATGGCAACTCTAGGTTTTATCTTACAAGTCTAGCAACCAAACAGGAAAGAAAGAGTTCCCTTTTCTATAGGTTCAGTTAAAAGCCTGACTCTTACAGGCCTTGATAAGGTCTTATGCCAACTCTTAGATCAGTCACTTTGGCCATACTCTTTAAGAAGACCAGACTCCTATACACATCCTATACACAACCCATTTGGAACCCATGAACTGAGTGGAATGAATATCCAGAGAAAATTTTGAGGGTGTCATGTTGAAAAAATGGGACATTGTTTTGGAGACCAAAAAAAAAAAAAACCAGAAGCTTGCTACACTTTTTGCTACTTACTGCCTTACCTTGAAATGCACAGTATCTCTGATATTAGCCAACTAACAGTGAGACAATTTATGGTACCTCCACTTGAATTAGAAGTGATAATTAAACTTGTGCAGTGGTTACATGGGGGAAAGCCATCTTGAGGACTATTGTTAATTCCAACACTAAATAGGCATCCTTTTTCACATTTACCTCAAATAAAATATGCATGGTAAATCGGATGTAGTGGTGCACATCTTTAATCCCAGCAACTCAGGAGACTGAAGCAGGAGGATCACAAATTCAAGGCCAGTCCAGGCAACTTAGCAAGTCCTGTCTCAAAGTAAAAAGAACTGGGGATGTAGCTCAGTGGGAGAGGGCCCCTAGGTTTAATCCCCAATAGCACAAAAATTAATTAATTAATTAAAATATACATGGCAAAAAATAAAATACATAGAGAGCAGTAGCTGACATTTCAATTCCTTGAGTCAGTAGGGTCCTACATCATACTGCAAGGAGGCTAGACATTCTGCCTGTTATTACAGCTAATTAACCATTAGCTCTTATGCAGAAAAATAGCAGAAGATGTGAAGAATTGTTCAGAAATGTTATAAACTCTTTTCCTCTAGTAATTAAGGGTAACTTTATGATTTGCATTAGCTTTTGTTCATATGATTCTATAAGGAGTCTCTCCTCAATAAACTAAGAGTAGATCAAACTTTTTTTTTCTTATACCCCTGCCCACATTCTTTCTAAGGCTCTGTCCTTGTAGCAACATCCTTATAAGCAGAATATTCATGCCCTATGTCTCTTCCCACCCTTTTCAGTGTTGTATTTTTATGGGGAAAAGCCTTTCAGAGAGCTCTGTACATCCCATTGTACCACTGACTCCACTTGACCTTGAATGAGGATATGTAATCAGAAGAATACAAATGCAGGCTAAGTCAGCCCTTCTAAACACGTTTGAGGTATCTAACAATTTCATGTTCTACAGTACACCTGACAGTTGAAATTTTTATTTCTATGGTATTGTAAAAAATCAGATAAACAGTGAAATGTAGAAATAAAATTAAGCAAAGACTCTTTAGATTTTAATTGAATAAATATCAGTTTCAGGCCCACTATGAGAGAGCAATTCCTTAATATATATTAAAGACTCATCTAGTTCCAGTCCTGATTTGTCATTCCAAATCCCAGAGTTTGTAGCTAAGGAATTCCCAGCTTCAACCTTAAGTCATACAAGTCTGAGCGGGTTCCACCTTGTCCTCCCATGGTGAATGAAAACTAGTCTGCCAGCATAGAGACTTAATAGAAATCCATAGGTCTCAAAGTACCATGTTGTTGTTACAGTTAATAGAAATTCTCTCTACCACTTCAATAATTCTGTTTAACCTATTTTCTTAAAGGTATAGCAGATGGAAACATGTGGACAGATAAATGCATTCCAGCTGAACATTTTTTTAGACTTTGTGGTTTTAGCTATCCCCAGATCAGACCATCATGTTCAGTTGGCGGGTTTGTAACCATCTTGCCAGAAACATCTTGAGTTTTGAAATGGGAATTGACAAATCTTGAGCCAAAGCCTTTTTAATTGTATTTTTTAAATGGGGGGTGGCGGTGGGGAGGAAATAGTAAGTTATAGCTGTTACGTTGTCTGCCCTTCTGAGTCTAATACCTGTTCTTTGCATAGCCCCTCCCCCTAGGTCTGGATGGAGGATACCTTAAAGTGAAATGACAGACCAGGAGAATAACAACAACATCTCAAGTAACCCCTTTGCTGCTCTTTTTGGCTCCCTGGCTGATGCCAAGCAGTTTGCAGCAATCCAAAAAGAGCAGCTGAAGCAGCAATCTGGTAAGTGAAGGAGTCAGTAGCAGCGGATGAGATAACCTAGAATGGAGTCTTCCCAAATTAAGTAATCTTTGGACACTTAATTTATAATTGGAATTTAAGTTTGGGGCAGAAGTTGTTTTTTGTCTGTCTGTTTAGGACAGAAGTTTATTTATTTATTTATTTATTTTTGCTGTTGATTTTTTGTTTGGGAGGCCTTCCCTTCCCCTTTTCTTCTTTTTTAGAAAGAAATCAGATAACTGGTGGTTACACAGGGACACATGCCAGTTGTAATCCTAAAGTTGTCAAGCTGCTTCATTAAAAAAAAAAAAAAAAGAGCCTAGTAAAAGTTTTTTAAATAAAATTTTTTTTAACATAGGAAACCAAGGTGGTAGGTATGAAAACAAGTCACAAGCAGCTGTAGACAGCAGATATAAAAGGAAAATTTATAAAAGCATTTTACCTAGTACTTAAGAGGCTTTCTCAAGCGAAGTACTTCTTCTGTTCTTCTGCCTCTCTTTTGTAGCTTAGTACTGTTAAAACAAACTGTTTTGAAACAAAATCAGAATGATCTCTCACCAGAAAAGTGGCTTACCTCATTTTAAATCAAATTTAAGGTCAAGTTCATTTCCTTCTCCTATGAGGAGACATAGATTAAAATAATTACCATGGTATCTCTTAAATATAATAGTGTCTTGAGAACATTCACAATCTTTAAACTACAAATTTGTCCTTTCTCCTCTGTCCAAAAAGAATAATGGTGTTTCTCTTTTGAGAAAAGGAGAATTTTATATTTTCCCTTTTTTCATTTTTTAAAAATGTCAGATGCATAGCAGAGTTGTCCTTGCTTTATGATTAGGGGTGAAGAAAAAGGAGGTAAAGGCAAGACAGATCTATAGTAGACAGAGTGATAGATGAAGCAAGAGACAAGTGCAATGCTAACTTCTTAACCAGCAGTAAATAGACGTAAGGCTGGCGAGTGGAGAGCATTGCAAATGGCAAACTGTGGGAATGAGGCAGAGGCACATGCCCTTCTGTTACTATTTTGGCAACTCATCATTTTAGTTTGTTTATGCTGATTTTATTGTGCCACTAGGTCCAAACTGTTTGCCACCACCAGTTAGTACTTTGCCAAAACCTTTGACCTCCAAAATTGAAGTTCACTTTTACTAAACTCAGAACTCAAAATACTAAAGCAACTCTTAGTTCTGAGAGTTTTGTCTGGACTTTCAGAATACCCATCTTATCAAGAGAAAAGAAATATGAGTTCATATGGCTTTTATAGTACTGACTGTTATAATCATTCAACATGAGTGCATTCTAAGAGGCAGTCTTTATAAACAAATTTAAGGGACTCAGTCAATAAGGAAAAAGTGAAACCAGGGAGGGAAAAAAAAAAAAATGCTGTAACAAACAACTTATATATTATATACAATAATCAAATGATGAAAAAATCCAATCTCACTTTTTTTTTTTTTTTTTTTTAAGTATAGGGAATTGAACCCTGAGCAATATCCCCAGGCTTTTTTAGTTTTTATTTTGAGACAGGGTCTCACTAAGTTACTTAGGGCCTCACTAAGTTGCTGAGGCTGGCTTTGAACTTATGATCCTCCTGCCTAAGCCTCTTTGAGTTACTGGGATTACAGGTGTGCACCAATCTCACTTTTTTAATGCTGTTTTGTTTTGTTTTGAGACAGGATCTTACTAAGTTGCCCAGGCCAATCTCAAATTTAAATTCCTCCGTCTTCCTATCTTAGCCTCACAAATTTCTAGGATTATAGGCATGAGCCATATGTGTGCCCACCATGCCCAGCTGAGCCTACTAAAACAACAATTATGTCATTTTTATTTTATTTTATTTTTTAGTACTGGGGATTTAAGCCAGGGGTACTTAACCACTGAGGTACATCCCCAGTTCTTTTTATTTTGTTATTTTGAGACAGAATCTAAGTTGCTTAAGGCCTTGCTGAGTTGCTGAGATTGGCCTCAAACTTGTGATACTCCTGTTTCAGCCTCCTGAGTTGTTGGGATTATAGGCATATACCACCACATGTGGCTTGAATTAGGTCATTTTTTTACCTGTGAAATTTTTGAAGATTTAATGGGCACAGTGGCACATGCCTATAATCTCAGCAACTCAGGAAACTGGGCAAGAGGATTGCAAGTTCTAGGTCAGTCTGGGCAACTTAGCAAGACCCTATCTAAAAATAAAAAATAAAAAAGACTGGCTGTGTAGCTCAGTGATAGAGCCCTCAGGTTCAATCCCTAGCACTGGGGGGTTGGGGGGGGCGGGGAGAAGAAGAAGAAAAGGAAGAAAGAAAATAAAAAAGAAATTTATGAGATTCGAACACACATTCTCAGGTTTTTTTTTTTCCCCCAATGCTGGGAAGTGAACCCAGGGGCTCTTACCACTGAGCTACTTTCCCAGCCCCAGACATTCCCTCATATACTAGTGGGTAGGCATATAAATCAGTGCATCTTTGAGGGCAATTTACTAGTATATGTTAAACTTTTTAAGTGGCCAGGCTCAGGCTAGAGATGTAGCTCAATTGATAAAGTGCTTACTTAGCATGGGTGAGACCCTGGGTTTGATCCCTAACACTGCAAAAAAAAAAAAAAGTGTTCAAGTCCTTTGAGCCAGCAGTTCTGCTTCTATGAATTTATCCTATAGAAATACACAAGTGAACAAAGAGTTACATTAAGTGCAGTATTATTTGAAATTATAAAAAAGTTGGAAACAACCAAATCAGGCAATGAATAAACCTAGAGTTTCGGCAGCTACATTAGTTACAGTGCATGTAAGATAAATGCAATATAGTGCAGCTACTGAAAGGAATGAGAGCTGGGCACAGTGACATATCCCTGTAAAATCTTAGCTACTGAGAGGCTGAGGCAGAAGGATCTAAAGTTCAAGACCAATCTCGGCAACATAGGGAGACCCTGCCTCAGTGGGGGTGGGGAGGACATGTTAAAAGGCTAGCTAAAGAGCATTATGTATTATGTGATCCCATTTTTTAGAAAAAAGAAAAACCACAATAATGAACACAAAAAGAGAAAAATAAGAGTCTGGAACACAGCTAAGTTGAGTGGTTTGACTGTAGGGAAGTGGTTCAGAGGAGACTTTCTATACTATATTTTCCTGTACCGTTTTGTGCGGTTTTTTGTGTTTGTTTGTTTTGTTTTTTAGTTATAGATGGACATAATACCTTTATTTTATTTATTTTTAATATGGTGCTGAGGCTCGAACCCAGTGCCTCACACATGCTAGGCAAGCGTTCTACCACTGATGCACAACCCCAGCTCCTCCTGTACAGTTTTGAGTTATTAAAACAAATGTGTCTCCTGGAAAAAGCCAGACATTTAAAATAATTACAGGCACTTTAATGTATTAGGTAATTCTTTCTTCACTAGGATTCTATAAGGAAGGTGAAGCTGTTTTTTTTTTTTTCCCCCAGCAGTGTGGAGTACAATTATGGGTAGAAGTAATAAAACTTTTGCTTTGAAAAATATGGTAAGATTTATAGCCAGGGATTTCAGAATCCTGCACTTAACTTGCCTGACTTGAGATATTCACTAATTAGATGATTAACATGTTTCACATCTGAAATTATCCTATTTTTCATTATTTTGGTAGTAGCCTTGGTTCTCTCTAAAAGAAAGGGAGATGGATGTTTAACAGCTTACATGTTCTGACAGATGAACTCCCAGCTAGCCCGGATGATTCGGATAATAGTGTGTCAGAGAGCCTGGATGAATTTGATTACTCTGTGGCTGAGATCAGCCGCTCATTCCGGTCACAGCAAGAGATATGTGAGCAACTCAACATCAATCACATGATCCAAAGGATCTTCCTCATTACTCTGGATAACAGTGAGTTATAGACTTATAGCCAATCTGTTCATTCTTCTGTCTTTCCAGCTATTTCATCTAGTGGTTAAATTATTTCACAGTACTCCCTGGAGCATGGTGTTTATATTTCTATAAAGCTTTTGATATGACCTAAAAGCAGTATTTAGACAGATATAATTTTTGTTCCCTTTTTGATAATGATTAGGCCATGTAACTACTTGCATTAACTACCTTTAGAGGAAAATGGAAATAGTAATCAAACCCATTTTCTTCTCACATGGAACCCTGAGGGACATTAGACAGTGATTTCCCACTGTGCTATATCTGTAGTTAAACCCCAAAGTTAGAACAGTGTCTGGGATTTACTCTTTAAATGTCATGACAATAGGTTTATAACAAAGCTGGTGCTCTGTAGCTAGGGAGGGAGGATTTAAATCTTTAGATACTGCTTTGTGTATCAAGATCACTCTGGTATTACCTGGATCAAACCTGGATTTAAGAGAAAGGCTATCAAGATTAACTATCTGGAACTGGGTATAATTACATGCACCTAAGGTCCCAGGAATTCAAGGCCATTCTTTGCACCAAAGCAAGGTCCTGTCTCAAAAAAAGACACCCCCCCCCCAAAAAAAAATAGTGGTCTGTATAAGACCAGGAACATTGCCCCAGTGTCCTTAACCTATCAGATTAAAACTACTTCCCAGGTGATCCTAGCTTGAAAAGTGGGAATGGCATCCCCAGCCGTTGTGTGTATTTGGAAGAAATGGCAGTAGAACTGGAAGATCAAGACTGGCTTGATATGAGCAACGTTGAGCAGGTACCATTTTTATGTTCTTAACAGGTGCCCTCAGTAAAAATTAACATACAGTCAAATTGTACTCACCATTCTCTAACTGTGACATTGCTTACCTCCATCTCTCATGTTGTTTTTGGTTTCTTTGGAATCTTCTCGCTACTATGGCCACATATCCAAATATACCCCATTATTTACAAACAGTTAAAATGCCATCTTATTTACAAAGCTTGCCAAATAGGAGTTACATCCTCCTAATCTTTCTATGTATCTTAATGAGAATTGTCACTTTCTGTTTCATGTTGTGTTTTTTTAGGCACCTGTCTGATCTCACCTGTCAGACTGTTCAATTCTTTAGGACAAAACTCATCTCTATCTTCTTAGGGTTTTTTGTTCTTGTTGTTTTGTTGTGCTTTGGTTTTGGTGGGGGTGGTTTTAAGATGCTAAGGATCCAATCCGTGGCCTTACCCATGGTAGGCAAGTGCTCTACCACTGTGCAGTATCTATAGCCCTCTTTCTTCTTTATATCCTTGCAAAATCCAGAATGCTGTTAGCTTTCCATCACTCTGACGTAATACAAAGAGAAGTAACTTATAAAGAGAAAGTTTATTTTACCCCCGTTTGAAGATTCCTGTCCATGATCCATTGGCCCCCTTGTTTTGGGCCTGTGATAAGGCAGTACATTATGGTGGGAGCATGTGGTAAAGCAAAACTGCTTTTATTATGGACCTTTGAGCAAAGAGAAAGAGACTAGGATATGACAATCCCATTCAACATTCAGGGCAATGATCTAAGGACCTCTCAGTAGGCTCCACTTCCTAAAAGGTTCCACCATCTCCCAACAGCACTAACCTAGGGACCAAGTCTTTAACATATAAATCTTTGGGAGAATCCAAGCCATGGCAAGTGCATTGTACCTTCCAAATACCTGATTAATATTAAAGAGATAAAAGTTTGATTGGAAAGACACTTAACAACTTGCAGTTTAACTTTACACATTTTGAGTATCTTCGAGTGAAGCCAGAAATCACATAGAGTAATAGATTTCACATGTAAGTTCAATCACTGATTCTCAATACCATTCAACAAATAGTCTTTTAATGCCTGTTCTATGCCAAACACTTTAGGCTTTATTTAGAATAACTTTACATATACGATTATTTTCTAACATTTTCTAAAGTAATAAGATACTGGGTCCTTTTTTCCTTTTCACTCTAAACCTTGTGATTCTTGTAATAACCTATTGTCAAAATTATTTTACCTCTTTATGTTCTAAGATTAACTTTGAATTTGTTTAATTTGTTTATTTTTCTTAACAGGCCATCTTTGCTCGCTTATTACTTCAAGATCCAGGAAACCACTTGATTAACATGACTTCTTCTACAACATTAAATCTGTCTGCTGATCGAGATGCAGGAGAGAGGCACATTTTTTGTTACCTTTATTCCTGCTTCCAAAGAGCCAAGGAAGAGGTAAAAGAATAATTCCTATTTAATGCTTTATTATCCTCTTGGGTATAACTTTAGCATATAAGTCAGAGTTGAATCAGTGTCTTTCATATTGATTTGTATACATTATAGTATCTTTGTCTTCTAATTTAATCTCCTTTCTGTGGATTGGAGTTCATCTCTTTCCCCATTTAACCAATACCTCCCATTCTCTCTACAAACTTCTTTACATATCACACCCTTAAAAAATAAAAGTAAAGTGATAAATTCATTTCCATTGAGGTGTAAGCATTAGAATAGGAACTTGACACTTCCAGATTGGAATTTTAATAGGTAGGTGATTTTTAAGCCAAAGAACAAGTCTTGTCATGAATTTGCAGACATCCACAAGAGACCAATATTGTTTTGGGACACGGTGTCTTTTCCATTCTATTTATATCTACCCTTTTTCCAGGTCCTAAAGCTCTACTCTTCCCTTTCTTCCTTATGTTTGCAGATTACCAAAGTTCCAGAGAACCTGCTACCCTTTGCAGTACAGTGCAGGAACCTCACTGTGTCAAATACCCGAACAGTTCTCCTCACCCCAGAGATCTATGTTGACCAAAACATCCATGAACAATTGGTAGATTTGATGTTGGAAGCCATCCAAGGAGCCCGTGAGTGCATAAGAAGATCTTTGAGCTTCTACATTTTGATTTCCAAATTTAAAATTTCTCTAATTTCATTAGAAAGCCTCAGCACCATTATGGTTCTGGTATAAATTAAGGAAGAGACCTCACACTTTGATCTTTGGAGTTGATAACAATAGAATTATCAAAGAGTTTGAGAAGAGTAAAGAGCCATTGTGTAGCCGATGTGGTAACACAGGCCTGTAATCCCAGCAACTTGGGTAGCTGAAGCAAGAGGCTCTTAAGTTCAAGTCAGCCTCAGCAACTTATCAAGACCCTTTCTCAAAAGTAAAAGTAAATGGGCTGAGAATGTAGCTCAGTGGTCCTGGGTTCAATCCACAGTATAAAAAGAAAAGAAAAAGAACCAGTTTGTGAAGATAGGGATATGGTTTAGCGGTAGAGCACTTGCCAAGCATGTGCAAAGCCCTGGGTTTAGTCCCCAGCACCTCAAAGAAGGAGAGAAAGAGTACCAGCGTGTAAAACATATAAAAATTCCTATGGCCTCCTTTCTCTTTCATGTCTTCTGTTAGATTTTGAAGATGTAACTGAATTTCTAGAAGAGGTCATTGAAGCCTTGATACTAGATGAGGAAGTTCGAACATTTCCTGAAGTCATGATTCCAGTGTTTGATATTTTATTGGGCCGAATAAAAGATCTGGAGCTGTGCCAGATCCTGTTGTATGCATATCTAGATATTCTTCTCTATTTCACTAGGCAAAAGGATATGGCAAAGGTAGGTCTGAAAGATGGTATGTATTCATTGTATTGGAGATTTAATTAATACTTGATGCTTCCTTGTCCTGAGGATTCTATACTATTACTTATAGAATAAGAGAAAATTGGATTGGTGGTTGTATAGACAAAACTCTTTGAGGCCCTCTCACTTTATTGTCTTTATCTTACCATGCAGACAAATAGTACTTATCTTCTCCTACAGGTTTTTGTAGAGTACATTCAACCTAAGGACCCAAGCAATGGGCAGATGTACCAGAAGACCTTGCTGGGAGTCATTCTGAATATCTCCTGCTTATTAAAGACTCCGGGTGTGGTAGAAAATCATGGCTACTTCCTGAATCCATCTCGGTCCAGTCCTCAGGAGATCAAAGTACAGGAGGCCAACATCCATCAGGTCGAACTGTTTCCTGGGATATCCTAGCCCCCTGGTCTTAGATTGTGTATGTCCTCAAGAACCACATACACATAAGGCTGCTTGAGCCTCTTTAGGAAAGCAAATTGGTATGGATGACTTTCTCCATAATGATGTGAAGAAATTGCCCTCTTTTAGCATGTGCTAAGAGCAGGAGGTAAAACCATTTAGGGTGAGAATAAGCTGTTGTGACTCTTGCCCTATGTGGTAGCACTTCCACTTCCCCTCAACTCTTGCTCTTGTCACCGAACTATTTCTTACCACTTAGCTCCTAAAATCTTTTGACTGAACCTCAGCTTATATAACTCCCTTTCTCCATCCCCCTTTCTTTTCCTCGACCTATGCCCTTTCTGTTTGGGCCTCTTGACATAAATTATAGTAGAGATCTGGCCAACATGAGACATTTTAATGGTTGAAGTGGGAATAGTTTAAGTCTCCCATTCACCATTTAATCTTCACAGCTTTGTAAAACAGTTGTTGGCAAACTATAGCAGTGATCAAACCCAACCTGTCACCTGTTTTTTTTTTTTTTTTAAATAACATTTTATTGGACACGGCCACATCCATTCATATATGTATTGTTTGTGGCTTGATTTTATGCTACCATGGTAAAGTTGAATAACTGCCTCAAGGACCATATGACAAGCAAAGCCAAAACTATAATCTAGTGCTTTGCTGAAAAAGTTTAGCAAATACTGCTATGAAACTAAGTAATGCTGTGTGCAATTTGGCAGCTGATCAGAAAATTTCTCCTAAATACCCAGAAACATTTTTAAAAATTAAAATCAGGGAATGGGGCTCAAGGAGAATGAGGGGAAAGATTAGGATTAGCATATTTTTGGAAACTGCCAGTTGCTAAGGTTTGAGAGTAAGAAAATAATTAAATGTGAAATTGGAATGTTCTGTGGTTGTGTTTTCTGGTCAAACAGTTCATGGCTCAGTTCCATGAAAAGATCTACCAGATGCTGAAGAACTTACTCCAGCTCTCTCCAGAAACCAAACACTGTATCTTATCCTGGCTGGGAAACTGTTTGCATGCAAATGCAGGCCGCACCAAGATTTGGGCCAATCAGATGCCAGAAATCTTCTTCCAGATGTATGCCTCGGATGCCTTCTTTCTGAATCTGGGTGCTGCTCTCCTGAAGCTATGCCAGCCATTTTGCAAACCCAAGTCCTCTCGGCTTCTCACCTTTAATCCTACTTACTGTGCCCTGAAGGAGTTAAATGATGAAGAACGAAAAATAAAAAATGTACACATGAGAGGTAGGGGGAACTGGCCTTCTCAGAACTGTTTGTGTGTGTGTGTGTGTGTGTGTGTGTGTGTGTGTATAATTTCTAAGGCATTCACTCCCTTATCCTTTTTTATAAAGTAGCTCTTTCTCAAAAAAAAAAAAAAAAAATGAGGTGTAAAAAAGGTTTAATTTTTTTTTTCTTGGCATATTATACAATTTATCAGAAATAAAGTAGACAGAGAAAATTTCTAAACATGTCATGGGGATATTCTTGCAAACAAATCAGTATTACTGCTTGACTTCAACTCAGGTACCCAGGAACTATTTTTACAGATATATAATCTCATCCCCATGGTTACTGACTAACTTTGTCCACATGATTCTTGAATATAAATCTGAAGTAGGAAGTAGGGAAACTTAGGTCTTACTTTCCATTACAGAATCACATCGGTTACTCATCCACATTTTTACATAATACCATATTAATGACTGTTGTCTTCTGCTAGCAGTTTTCTAAAATCAACACTTTAGCTTTTAAATGTTGTGCTTTAGTGAGACCTCTCTGGATATGGCAGCCTTCAGTATTCATTCATTCATCCTTTACAAAAATGAATAAAATACAGCTGCCATCCTCTTTGCAGAGGCTCCAGAAAAAGTCAGGTAATTTTAATGTGCCATAGAACTAAGCTCTGAGAACACAGAAAGAGTGAGTAATCGATTCTGCAGGAGTCGGAGGTCTTCATAGCTGAGCTTGAAAGATAAGTTGGGTTTTACCAGGCAAAGGAGCAAGAGTCTATACAAAGGGAATAGCAAGCATAGAAGTAAAAGCTGTGGAAAGTCATGAGTAAGGAATGATGAGACGTTCCAGGTATCTTAGAGCAGAGGAGGATGAGAAGTGGGTGGTAGGAAGTGGAGAAAATGGGTCTGAGGAAAAAGAAGGTTAAGGCCAGATTGGAAAAACTTGAGCAATTCAGAGAAATGAAAAAAAGAAAATAAAGGACTCATGATTCTGCCATGCAGAACAAATCCCTTCTTAATTTTGATATATTTCTTCCAGTTTTGTGATTCTTGCAATTATAAAAATGATACTTCTCAAAAGCAAATAATATTAAATATAGAAAAGCATAAAATAAATACAATTGGTCCATTGCCTATCACTTGGAAAAATTACAGTACTATACTTATTTTTAATTTTTGGTGATTTCATTGATTAAGCAAGAGATTTAACTATTTCTGTAGATAAAAGATATTTTTAGAGAAAGTAATGTGATGAGATTTGTTTTAAAGAAGTTGTCACTGGTTTAGTATGGAAGCTGAACAAGAATAAGGGGAGACTGGAGACCAAGATTCATGTCTGTGGCAAGCCATTTACCATTGCTTTTAACTTCTTTGAGGTTTGGACAAAGAAACCTGTTTGATCCCAGCTGTGCAGGAGCCAAAGTTTCCCCAGAACTACAACCTTGTAACAGAGAACCTTGCACTGACAGAGTATACCTTGTACTTGGGATTTCACAGGTAATTCTTTTGCTGTCACTAGAAAAGAACTATTTGGGAATGAACTATTTAGTTGTGTCTACAACCAGAAGGTTGAAAGTGAGTCTTAAGAGAATTATTCTAGGGGCTGGAGCTGGAGCTTAGTGGTAGAGTACTTGCCTAGCACAGGTGAGGCGCTGGGTTCAAGCCTCAGAACAACATACAAACTAATAAGTAAAATAAAGGTTAAATTCTTTAAAAAAACGAGAGAGTTTAATTCTCAAGGCTAGCATTAGAAAATCTAGCAGGAAAAGAGAATTATTTGAATTTATTTTTGTTTACACGAATCAGCTTTGTCCAGTTAAATTTATTTTCGATTTTTGACCTGTTAACTTTTTTAAATTAAAGATACACTATTTTTTTTTCTACATTTTCAAAATTTTAGATCATTGTCTTCCTGTTGTCATTTAGGAAATGGAATTATTTTTATTTTCTGTTTCATTTTCTACTCTTGAAAATTTTGCTACTTACTACTTCTGATGAAAAAGCCAAGAAACAGAATTGGCAAAAATTAAGAAAATGTTAATAAAGGATTCCAGTGAGACCATCTATGTATCTAAGATAAAGAAGATTCTAGAAGTGTGAAGGTTTGAGAACTGTAGTTTAAAATTTTCCAAAGGGATCTAGTTCTGACTAGCCTTACGTCACTATAATTTTTCCCCCTTTTTAACTAAGTGTGACTTTCAGCATAAATAAGGGTGGGAGGTAGCAACTCGCTCTTGGAAATGGTATAAGGAATAGCAGTTTTTAATGCCTTCTCAGGATACTTAAATTAATAAAAGGCATTTTTCAAAAACCAGCAAATTACCGAAAAATGGTGGATATAGAAAACTCTCTAATAAAGCGTTTTTAACTTCTTTGAGGTTTGGACAAAGAAACCTTGTAACTCTCTAATAAGACATTTTAAATAAGACAATGTTCAGCATGTGCTTAATCTACTTAACCATCTAGATTCAAACACAAAAATGAATGTCATCTAGTTTCTTAGCTGGCCTTAGACATTACCTATAGGATCAAAGGAAATAATTTTGGATTATACACATAGAATCAGTTATCCTTAGCTTTAAATTATAGGTCTTCCTTTCAGTAGAGAATATTTGGGTGAACTTTCATGAAGAATGGTTTAATTTTATTTTAAACAGAGAGCTGAAGACTAACTGTAAGACATCCTCATAATCCCTCAAATCACGATCGTTGCACTTTTGTTGTGTAAAACTATCCTGCTGGGCTTCTTGTACTTTGCCTAATAATTTTTATTTTACATAATATCTCACTTTATACCCTGCTCACCTAAGTTGCAGCTGTTTGAATTGTGCACTTCAGCTGAAGGCTGCTAACTATTTGTAATTAGCTTCAATTGTGTTGAATACTTGGTAACATTTTCCCAGGGAATGCTAGAATAAATAAATGAGAATTTATTTTTCTCTAATGATCTAAACTAGACTATCTCCCTATGAGCCTTCCTGACCCAGTCTCTTCTGCTTTCTTGGGGGCAGGTTGCATGATCAGATGGTAAAAATCAACCAAAATCTGCATCGGCTACAGGTTGCCTGGAGGGATGCTCAGCAGAGTTCTAGCCCTGCTGCTGACAACCTCCGTGAACAGTTTGAACGACTGATGACCATCTATCTTTCAACCAAGACTGCCATGACTGAGCCACAGATGCTACAAAACTGCCTAAATTTGCAGGTGTCCATGGCTGTTCTGCTGGTTCAACTGGCCATAGGCAATGAGGGCTCACAGCCAATAGAGCTAACTTTTCCTTTGCCAGATGGCTACAGCTCTTTGGCTTATGTGCCAGGTAAGCAGTTCTCCCTTGGGAACTTCCTATTTTTAGCCATCTAAGTTTAACTGGGTCACTTTGGAAGTTTAGTCCTCAAGATGTCTTTCCTTAGTTATCATTTGTTTTTGGAGAAACAACTCAAACTTATAAATATCTACTGATCAAAGTATGAAGTTACTAACAGTATGTTCTCTGGCCTTATGACCCTACTGCTGTGCATATCAGAAAACAGTCTTCAAAAGATTAAAACAAAGCCGGGCACAGTAGCACATGCATGCCTGTAATCCCAGCAACTCAGAAAGCTGAGACAGGAGGATTGCAAGTTCAAGGCCAGTCTCAGCACTTAGTGAGACCCTGTCTCAAAATAAAAAATAGGATTGAGGATGGAGCTCAGTGATAAAGCACCCCTGGGTTCAATTCCCAGTACAAAAAAAAAAAGATTAAATGAAGCCAGGATTCTCATAGCTGTTAGTTTCTGTCATTTATATGGTTTGTCATTCAACTTACAAATTTGTAACTCTCCTGTGCTCTTTTTAGAAAGAAAAAAAAATCTTCTATCAGTTAACCTAAAAGGGAGATTGTATTTATATGTCAGTGAGGGGTTAGCAGACATGCATCAAATCAGGTTAAATTCTCTTGATCACTGTATTGGACAAATATTGCTGTATCACAAATTACCCCAAAACATATCAGCTTAAAACAACAAATATTATTTCACTTACCATGGGTAAGGAATTTAGGCACACTAGGCTGCATGGTTCTGGCTCAAGAGTACCCCCTGAGATTGCATCCAAGCTGTCATTCAGAGCCATAGGAATTTGAGGATCCAACTACAGCTGGAGGATCTACTTACAAGCCCTGTCATGTGGCTGTTAACTGACCTCATTTTCTTGCACATTTGGCCAACAGCCTCTTCTCCAGGCCTCACACATCTCTCTTTAGTACCATTCATGATGAGGTAACTGGTTTCCCCCAGAGTGAGTGACCACGGTGAAAACTAAAAGCTTTTATAACCTAATCTTAGAAATGATATACCATCACTTCTACTGTATACTGCAGGGTGAAGCTTCTACTCTAGAAGAATGTGGGAAGGGACTGTGTGAGGGCATGAATACCAGGAAATGAGGATCATCCTAGAGGCTGGCTGCCATAGTTACCTAATGTAAAAGTCTTGATAAGCAATTCTTCAGATACCTGAAGAATTAATTAAATTATGGTTAACCTTGTATTAATCTTGTAACCTGGTACTGTTAACACATGTTAATGTTAATAATATTTTGTATACTACTGTTCATATATTTACTTGGATAAAAATTAAAAATGACATACATTTAAAGAAGATCCTAAGACCAATAAGACCTTTGATTTTTTTTTTTTTTTTAAACCCTTCATTAAGTAACATGAAAGAGAGGAATATAAATGTTACTTAATACCAGCAGACAGATATTTGGCTAATTCTAGTGAATATTTTTTTTCAGAATTTTTTGCAGATAACCTCGGTGATTTCCTCATTTTTCTCCGCCGCTTTGCCGATGACATCTTGGAGACATCAGCAGATTCCTTGGAGCATGTCCTTCACTTTATCACCATTTTCACTGGGAGCATAGAAAGGTGAAGTGCTGAAAGCTTGGCTCTGTCACTGTTTAGAGCTGCAAAACATTCAGAAGACTTCTAAATCAAGAAATAAACAAGCCTGAATCATAAGGGGTTGCCTTCAGAAGTTATGTTAACATTAATGAACCACCTGAGCATCCTTATGGGTAGCCAAAAATCCCACTGTTGAGAGGCACAATAAGCAAAGGACTTTGCCCACAGAGAATTTGAACCTGCATTTAAGGTACCTGATGGGAATTCCACTGCTAGTCCCTGGTTAAAATAGTTACCGTACTGCCAGAAACCTTACCAGTGGCAGTCAGGTGCTAATGTTCCTCTACTAATTGTATGATACATAAGTTTGTTCTTGCTGTTCGGAGTTGGATGAGCAGTAAACTTAGGTCAATGTTATTTCTGATCTCTGGTCTTCCCACTCATAACCTCCAGCCCTCTTTCCCAAAGGAAGATACTATGACTTCTAGGATTGCTTTCTTCATTTTCTGATATGTAGGCCAAAGGAAACAAATTCTGTGTACAGAAGTGCACATTGCTTCATAATAAAGAGAATGACCCACAGTTCCCCTAGGCACATCAATGAAAAGTAGGTAGAATCCAGCCTGTCACTGAACTGAGCAAACGTAATTAGTCATAAACCAAAAAGTATTGATTAGGCAAACATTACAGCATTGTAGATAATATAAGTGAAACCTAATCTTTACCCTCAGAAGGCCTGGCAAGGCAAGTTTATCCAAGATGAAACTGTCAGAGAATAGTACTTTTTAAATAATGCCTTATTGTAGACAAGAAAGTTGAATGGCTAAGTATTAAATAGAAACTTAAGTACTCACCCTCATACTTGGTAAACAGTCATCTCAAAAGTTAAATGGTGGGCTGGGGATATAGCTCAGTTGGTTGAGTGCTTACCTCCCATGTACAAGTCCCTGGGTTCAATCCCTGGCACCACAAAAAAAAAAAAAAAAAGTGGTGTACCCTGAATCACCCAATATTGACAAACTTAAAACTGTAGAAGTGCCTCTTTTTTTTTTTTCTCCCCTATAATGAGAGTATAGCATGCGTTGGCACCTCTTGTAGAGAGAACAGAGTAATAACTTTGGGAGTTAAGTTTATCTACTCATCTTGCTTTCTGCACTGTTTTGCAGAATGAAGAATCCTCACTTAAGGGCTAAACTAGCTGAGGTGCTGGAAGCAGTGATGCCCCACCTGGATCAGACCCCAAATCCCTTGGTATCCAGTGTGTTCCACCGGAAGCGTGTGTTCTGCAATTTTCCACATGCACCCCAACTTGCAGAAGCTCTAATCAAGGTTTTTGTGGACATCGAGTTTACAGGTAAAGCAATCATGCAGCCAGGTGGGAACTACAGAGTTGATACCAGTGGAGTTCCATAGCTTGATCATTTATTGAACATCAGATAAATTTAAAGCCATCATTTACCAAATATCTTCTGTGTGCCAGGCTTGGTGCTAAATGCTATTTTATATTACTAATGTGTTACCATTTGACTTTATTATCCCCATTTTTCACATGAAGACATGAATGATCAAAAGATTACATTATTTGTCCATGTCATATAACTAATAAGTGATAAGTCCATCTCACCCAAAAAAAAAAAAAAATCCTATATACTCTTTTCAACCATATATTACTAGTCAAATTATACTCAAATTAGGCTATCTGATTAAAACCTAACTCCTTATTTGTGTCTGCCCCAAGATGGTAAAATACTGTAATGAGACTATAATGATTGAGAGATTCTTTATTTTAACCATACCATCTAATTTTCTAAAAATCTGATTGTTGGATTAAGAATACCACAGAGCCCCCTGGTGCACGCCTGTAATCCCAGTAGCTCCAGAGGCTGAGACAGTAAGATCATAAGTTCAAAGCCATCCTCAGCAATGGCGAGATGTTAAGCAACTCAGTGGGACCCTGTCTTTAAATAAAATACAAAATAGGCTAGGGATGTGGTTCAGTGGCTGAATGCCCCTGGGTTCAATCCCTGGTACCAAAAAGAAAGAAAAAAAAAAAAAAAGAATACCAGCAGGGCTGGGGTTGGAGTCAGTGGTAGAGCACTTGCCTAGCATGTGTGAGACACTGGGTTTGATTCTGAGCACCATAAATAAATTATTTTATTAAAACAAAACAAAATACCAACAAGCAGCATTCCGCTTCTCTCTAACCCTGAGCTTCTCTGTTTGATTCGACAGTACCCTCTTACAACTAGTAGGCAAGATATGTTAAGCAATTGTATAAGACCAGTTTCAAGGAAATGTCCTGCCATCCAATGATACATATAACTAACATTTAAAAGAACTGTTAACATTTTACTGGCTACCTTTCGATACTTGTGTTTGTTTGGGGTTTTATTGTTGTTTGTTTTGATATTGAAAATTGAATCCAGAGGCACTTTGCCACTGAGATATACCCCAGTCCTTTGTTTACTTTCAGACATGGTTTCACTAAGTTACTGGAAGTCTTGGCAATTTGCTGAGGTTGGCAGTGAACTTTCGATCCTCCTGCCTCAGCCTCCCGAGTTGCTGAGATAACAGACATGAGTCACTGTGCTCAGTAACCTTTCCCTGTTTGGTTTCTGGCTTTGTTACTTGCTCACCTCTGAATCAAAAGATTACATTATTTGTCCATGTCATGTAACTAATAAGTAATACAACCAGATATAAAATGAGTCAAAGCAATGATTCGGTGGAATAGTACATGTAAATCTTCATCGTACTTAAAGAACTGCACAATAAATTATTGTGGTTATCTCATTATGTAACTATATAACCAAAGATTTGTCATATATTACAATTTCTATTTTTTCCCCAAAGGAGTGGAGACTTGCATTTAGTAGAACCAAAATGAAAATTTGGGTCTTTGAACTCCAAATCTTACACTCTTCATTATATGACCCAGACTTTGGTTCTTCAGATGCAGTATAGGCTCAAATTAGCTCCTGACCTGATATTTCAGAATAATCAAAAACTAATTGGCTGCACAGTTGGGGTATTGTCTATGAAGAATGAAGGAATTATGTAGTGTCCCACTCTGCACATGACTTTTCAGCAACACCACAGTCAGCACAGAGGCCTCATTTGCATGCTGCACATTGGGGTGAGGAAGCATCTGTTACCCTTGTTGAGTAAAATATCTTTTACATCTGTTTCCCTGTTGTTTTTGTTTTGTTGGTAAGCAAATGAGCAAACACTTGGTCCAACTCTAGTTTTTTTGAAACTCCTAGAGAAGATTTTGTCAGTAGCCTTGACACGTTCAAGATAGAAGAAAGTGACTGCACATAGGCATAAACTCCTAGCCACTCACAAATAGACCACCCTTGCTGATTTCTTGCTCTTGCTTAACTTTAGGAGACCCCCATCAATTTGAACAGAAGTTTAATTACCGCCGTCCCATGTATCCCATCCTAAGATACATGTGGGGAACAGATACGTATCGGGAGAGCATTAAGGTAAGAGAATTTTTGGTGAAACCAGTTGCGTCAGATGAATCCCAATGATGTGATTCATTATTACTGACACAGTTTTCTCTTGGGCTGGAACTTATAGGATTTGGCTGACTATGCCTCTAAGAATTTAGAAGCTATGAACCCTCCACTTTTCCTCCGCTTTCTTAACCTGCTAATGAATGATGCCATCTTCCTTTTGGATGAAGCTATACAGGTAAAAAACAAACATTTAACTGCTACTATATCACCAAATCATTGTCAGTACATATTTTTGATCTTTTTAATCATTGTAGAACAATCCTGTGCCATGAGTATCCAGTCTTGAACACAAAAATTTTTGAGTTTACCATTATGGAGCTTTCTAGGTTATTGTTCCATCACAGAAAAGATCAAGGGTCATTGAAGCCTCATAGGATGGGTACTTTGGCAGAGTTAAAAACATAGTTTGATGAAACCAAACCAAGGTACACTGGCAAAAGTCATCAGGCCAGCATCACCCAAAAAAATAATCAAAAGATCTTGTTTTTGGTCAGTAAGTTTCAACTATTTTTCCATCCAAAGATATCAGTAACAGTGGTTCACTAGACAATGATTTTTAGTCCTCTGTTCTAAAAGATCCAGATTTTTTTATCACTACTTAAAACGTATCTGGTTTGTGTTTGTGTTTTGGGGGTTTGTTTGTTTGTTTGTTTTGCCTCCTAAATCCTTGGCTATATTATGAAACATGTGTTTCTTGAAATGTAAGATACAGCTGAGTGTCTCTTAGCTCCTGCAGTGCATCTTTTCCTCAACCATCCATATGAAACTGTTCATTACTCCACTAAAAACCTGGGTACCCAGACAGAAAAACTTCCCTTCCCTATAAACTACAATAGTGACCTAAAGGAAGATGAGATAGGTAAATCCTGAGGGTAGCCTATTGGACAGTCATGAGCTCCTCTTATTGGTTTGGTTTATGAGAAAAGTTCCTGCTCTTTTCATAAACTTACACTCTTAAAATAGATTTTCTGAGAAAATGAAACAGGTTCTGTTATAAACAGACCCTGATAAGGAAGAGCAGTAGAGCCAAAGAATGAAGCTGATGGCATTTTTCAATGAGACTATATAACTTGACTTGTTTGCTATAACAGTAAGGATGATGAGAGGTAGAGTTTTAAATAATTATGGTTCTCCTTCCAGACATCTTGCATATTTGATAGAGCTTTCATTTTTGATAAATGGGTTTTGATTTGTGGGGTTTTTGGGGGTTTTGTGTTTTTCATTTTTTATCTTTCAGGAAGGATTCATTGTTTCTTCCTTGTAGCCTAGTGTTTGGGCCTGGGTTTCTTGTATTATGCCATTTTTCTTCCTTTTAGTTTTTGGGTACTGGGGATTAAATCCAGAGATGTTTTGCCACTGAGCCACATCCCCATCCCTTTTATATTTTTTGAGACAGGGTCTCAGTAAATTAAGTTGCTTAAGGTCTTGTTTAGTTGCTGAGGCTGGCCTTGAATTTGCAATCCTCCTACCTCAAGCTGCCGAATCACTGGGATTACATACACTGGGATTACCACACCCAGCTATCAAAAGTTCTTTTATGCTTCAGGCTTTGCTGACAAATAAAGACTCATATCTCTTATATGATCTCTGGTTTTCCCAGCTAAGAGTGGATTTTAAACAAGACCTCTTAAATGTCATGTTCCTTCAATTGCACTTTTCTTCTCTAATATATCCCACCTCTGGTTTCTTTAGTATTTGAGCAAGATAAAGATCCAGCAGATTGAGAAGGACCGAGGTGAATGGGATAGTCTGACCCCAGAAGCCCGCCGAGAGAAAGAGGCTGGCCTGCAGATGTTTGGGCAGTTGGCACGTTTTCATAACATAATGTCCAATGAAACAATTGGTACACTTGCCTTCCTAACATCAGGTAAGGACACACAAAAAATGGAGTCATCAAGATCTGCTTCACTTGGGGGATCAGCCCACTTGAAACTAAGAATGTGCACTCTGGGATAGTATCCTCTATATTTGAGAGGGAAACAGATCACTAGGAAAGCTTCAAAAAGAAGATCAATGCCAGCTGGGCAAAGTAGCACACGCCTCTAATCCCATCTATTCAGGAGTCTCAGGCACAAGAATCACAAGTTTAAGGCCAACTCAGTTGAGCAAGATCCTGCCTCACAATAAACAATGAAAAGGGCTGGGGATGTAGCTCAGCAATAGAGGGCTTGCCTAGCATGTATAAAGCCCCTGGTCCATCCCCAGCACTGCAAAATAAATAATATCTCATGGTGCAAACACAAACTGAAAAACTATGAAGTCTTTGAAAATGGTGTAAATCAATGTTATTCTATAAAACTTTCTGTGATGGTGGAAATGATCTATAATTCTGGGCTGCCCAGGGCTACACATAGCAGCCACACATGACTGTTGAACACTTGAAATTTGGCTAATATGACTGAGGAGTTGAACTTTTAATCTCATTTTATTTTTTTAGAGAATTTTTTAATATTTATTTTTTAGTTTTTGGCGGACACAACATCTTTGTTTGTATGTGGTGCTGAGGATCGAACCCTGGCTGCACGCATGCCAGGCGAGCACACTACCGCTTGAGCCACATCCCCAGCCCTTAATTTCATTTTAATTGATTTAAATTGTAAAAGTGGCAATGGTTGTTCAGTGGTAGAGCACTTTCCTAGCACGCATGATGCATTAGGTATGATCCTCAGCACCACATTAAAAATAAACAAAAGTGATTGTGTCCACCTATAACTAAAAATAGATAAATCAATTGTAAAAGTACATGTGGCCAGTTGGTACCCTATTGCATAGTACAGGAACCTCTCTTTACTAAAATGGTAAGATATCTCTGTAATAGTTATTGAAAAAGGTTACAGAGGGCTGGGGCTATAGCTCAGTGGCAGAGCACTTGCCTAGCATGTGTGAGGCACTGGGTTTGATCCTATATATACAATATACATTATAATCATTTTTCTCTTAAAGATGTATGTTATGTGTATAAATATGGACAAATAAACTAGGATATCTAGCAAAATGATAACAGTATCTCTATGTGGTAGTTTTTGTTTTCTTTTTTGTTTTTGATTTTGGCTTACCTACTACTTTGTGTAGTGAAAACATATCACTTATGTAATTTAAAAAATAGTAGCCCTCACAGGTCTCCAAAGAGTAAACAAGACATAAGTAAAAGATTATTAAATGGATTGAGTTTTCAGAAACTCTTGACTTTTTTTCCAGAGATCAAATCACTTTTCGTGCATCCTTTTCTGGCTGAGCGCATCATCTCTATGCTGAACTACTTCCTGCAGCACCTGGTTGGGCCCAAGATGGGTGCCTTAAAAGTCAAGGACTTCAGCGAATTTGACTTCAAACCCCAGCAGCTTGTATCAGATATCTGCACTATCTACTTAAATCTTGGGTACCTGAGATTGCAATTGGGCAAGCAGAAGGGATGCTGATGTTTTGATAGTAGAAGGACTGGTTGCTATTGCATGGAAGTGGAAAAGGAATGGTTACTTCTAGTTGGTTGATGAAGGAATCTTTATATTATTAACTGAGATTTTATGATTCATGGGATATTGTTGAGGATTTTCAACATTCTGCCTTGATCTGTACTAAGATAAACTTTGCTAATTGTACGGTTGTTTGGGAAATAGTATTCCTTTATGACCATGGAATATCTGATAGATATCCTATCTAGAAAATTAGAAGTCTTTCTACATTAAAAGTATATTATACGGAGGCTGGGGTTGTTGCTCAGTAATAGAGCTCTTGCCTAGTAAGTGTGAGGCTCTGAGTTCGATCCTCAGCACCACATAAAAATAAATAAATAAATAAAGATATTGTGTCCATCTACAACTAAAAAAATATTTTTTTAAAAAAGTACATTATAGGGGTGGGGATGTGGCTCTGTGGTAGAGTGCTTGCCTTGAAAGCATGAGGCCCTGGATTCAATCCCCAGGACCACAAAAAAAAAAAGTGCATTATAAGATAAGTGATGAGAATGATTGTTCCATTTGTTCCATGCCCATCTGTTATCTTCCCATCAACCTACCCTCTAATGTTCAGTTTCTTTCTAATGCCAACTTTCCAGGGATGAGGAGAATTTCTGTGCCACTGTGCCCAAGGATGGACGTTCCTATTCCCCAACTCTCTTTGCACAGACAGTTCGAGTCCTGAAGAAAATAAATAAGCCTGGGAATATGATTGTGGCTTTTAGTAATCTGGCAGAGAAAATCAAGGTGAGGAGAGAATTTGTTTCCTCATATGCTCAGTAAAAATCACATTGTCACTGGCATGGGGCTAAACACCTATAAAACCAGCTACATAAGAAGCTGAGGCATAAAGATCACAAGTTCCAGGCCAGCCTTGGAATTTAGTGAGACCCTGCCTCAAAATAAAATAAAAAGGACTGAAGATGTGGCTTCATGGTAGAGCACTTGCCTAGATCATTTGAGGCCCTGAGTTTAATCTCTAGTACCATACATACACTCAAAAAAGATCACTTTGACAGGGACTGGGGTTGTACCTCAGTAACAGAGCACTTACCTAGCATGTGTGAGCCCTAGGTTCAGTTCTCAGCACTGTAACAAAATGTTGATTGCAAAAATCACATTGCCAACTCAACTATGCTTAATTTTGCCCTATTTCAGGGAGAAAAAAGTTTGCCTTGAGAAACTAGAAATAGGTGATTCTTCTTTGTCAGTCAGTAACCAGAGCTTCCATCTTCTTATTTTGCCCAGTATGTATTCAGTAGGCTGAGGCAGGAGGATCACACATTCAAAGCCAGCCTCAGCAACTTAGTGAGGCCCTGTCCCAAAAAAAATAATAATAAAATGGGTTAGGGATATGGCTTAGTGGTTAAGCCATCCTGGGTTTAATCCCCAATACCAAAAAAATATAATTTTTTTGTATTTTTTTTTTATATAGTTTTGTTTTTGTTTTTTATTATATAAAAATATATATTATTTTTATATTTTATTTTTTTTTTTTTTTTTTTTTTTTTTTTTGGTACTGGGATTAAACTCGGGGGCACTTGACCACTGAGACAAATCCCAACCCTGTTTTGTATTTCATTTAGAGACAGGGTCTCACTGAGTTGCTTAGCGCTTCAACGTTGCTAAGGCTGGCTTTGAACTAGAGATCCTCCTGCCTCAGCATCCCAAATTGCTGGAATGATAGGCATACACCACCATGCCTGGCTGTAACATATATTTATATATTTTTATATGTGTGTGCGTATGTGTGTGTGTGTATATATATATATACACACACATTTATAACGTGTGTATATAACATATATACATATACATATACATGACATATATCCAAAAAATTACTCTTTTTTCACCTAAGAACAAGAACAGAAATTAAAGAAACAACTTCTAAAAGAAAAGAATATACATTTTTGGAAGCTTTTTATGAAAACTTCCCAGAGTTACTAGTAGACTTGAAAATTTAGAATGTTAATGCAGAAGAACATTTTAGGATGAAATTCAAGATGCATAGTTTTCAGTAACTGATTTTTTGTCTTTCTCTGTTCTCTACATATGTAGTTGGTAGGTAACTTACACTGAAATAGGCATACATTTTAAAGATTAAACTACTGCATTGTATTCACTTAGTCCCTTTGGTTGGAATATGACAGCTCCTTCAGAAATGGTTAAGAAGGAAAAATGGTGCAGAAGTCTAATAGAAAAACCTTTCTTATTGAGTTGGGTATGGTGGAGCATGCTTATAATCTGAGTAACTTCAAAGACTGAGGCAGAAAGATGTCAAGTCTAGGCATCTTAGCAAGACCCTGTCTCAAACAGGGCTGAGAATGTAGCTTAGTGGTAGATCACCTTTGGATTCAATCCCCAGTACTAAAAAGAAAGGGAGGGAGGGAAAAAGAAAAGAAAATCAATATTCTTACTGATGTAAGTTTCTTTTTTATGGAGTTAGATTTCATTCTTGGCCTAGAGCTTAGCCAGATGAATCTCTAAGGATTTAGGTATAGGGATCAAATGTTTAAGCTACTTTTAAATTCCTGTTTCTGTTTATATCAAAATCCATAAATTGTTTTTCACACACAGGCTGCGTGACTAACTCAAAAAGTAACCCTCCTTCCCATCCCCTTTTGATTATGGCACTTATAATAGAACTGTTGCCAGAAAGATGTTGTATATGGTGTAGTTCTTTTCCTGCTAATACTTATACCTGTTTCTAGTCATGACTGCCAGCAGGTGACCCAACTTGCAAGTTCGGAGTTGGGGTGCAATATTAAATTTGCTTCTGAAATATCTATTTTGGCTGGTTTAAAAAATAACAATAAAGGGGCTGGGGATGTGGCTCAAGCGGTAGCGCCTTCGCCTGGCATGCGTGCGGCCCGGGTTCGATCCTCAGCACCACATACAGACAAAGATGTTGTGTCCGCCAATAACTAAAAAATAAATATTAAAATTCTCTGTGTCTCTCTCTCTCTCTCTCTTAAAAAAAAAAAAACAATAAAGGTAAGAGCTCAGGCATGATGGTACATACCTTAAAACTAAGAATTTAAAACTAAGAACTGGGCATGGTGGCACACATCTTAATCCCAGTAACTCGGGAGACCACGGCAGGAGGATTACAAGTTTTGAGGCCAGCATGGGCAATTTAGCCAGACCCTATCTCAAAATTAAAAATAAAAAGGGCTAGGGATATGACTCAGTAGTAAAGCACCCTTAGGCTCAATCTTCAGTGCCAAAAATAATAATAATTAAAAATAATAAAGCTAAGGTTTGTCATTGCTGTCAAGATTTATTAATGACCAAGATTAAGTTATAGCCTTTTAGGGGCTGGGGATGTGGCTCAAGTGGTAGCACGCTCGCCTGGCATGCGTACGGCCCGGGTTCGATCCTCAGCACCACATACAAAGAAAGTTATAGCCTTTTAGCATTATGAATTCAGCTGTACTGTGAACACACTTTAACTAACAGGTATTGTGTTCTCAGTCTCTTGCAGACCTCCAACAACAAGAAGAGGAGACCTATGCAGATGCCTGTGATGAGTTCCTGGATCCTATCATGAGCACACTGATGTCTGACCCTGTGGTGCTGCCATCTTCCAGAGTCACTGTGGATAGGTCCACCATTGCCAGACATTTGCTCAGGTAGGTCATTCCCAAAAGCAGCCCCAGAAGCAGAGCTTATTTAAATTATAAAAAGTAAAAAAGACAGGGCCAGGGTTGTGGTTCAGTGGTAGAGCACTTGCCTAGAATGCATGAGGCACTGGGTTAGATCTCCAGTACCACATAAAAATAAACAAATAAAATAAAGGTATTGTGTTCAGCTACAACTTAAAAAAATTTTTTTTTAAATATAAAAGACAAAGGTTTTATTTTTTGCTTTAATTCAGATTTTATACTATATGAGTTAACTCTGTTTCTCTCTTTGAACCCCACCCATGGGGTAGCTATGAATTTTCCCCAGTTCACTTGCTATTTGGATAGTTGCCTCCTAATATCTATAGAAAAGACAGGAATAAAGATAAATGGTAGCTTATTTGCTACCAAACACCTCCTTTTTTTTTTTTTTCTTTTTCTTTTTGAGACAGGGTCTCACCATTTCACCCAAACTGGCCTCAAGCAGGAGTTCTGCCCTGCCTTAGCCTCCTTAGTAGCTGGAACTACATGTATACTCCATTGTCATGTCAACCCCTTAACTTTTTTAAGTATAGCATTAAATAGAAATGAATATTGAAAGACTATTCATGTTTTACAGTTACGTAAGTTGACCGAGATTTAAGGCAGTTTTTAAATATCAAAAAAATAACTGGGTACTGTGGCACACAACTCTAATTCCAGCTACTTAAGAAGTTGAGTGCTTGGGTTGTGGCTCAGTGGGTAGAGCACTCGCCTAGCACCTGTGAGGCCCTGGGTTCGATCCTCAGCACCACACAAAAATAAATAAATAAAGATATTGTGTCTGACTAAAAAATAAATATTTAAAAAAAAAAAAGAAGTTGAGACAAAAGATCACAAGTTTCAAGGCCAGCCTCAGCAACTTAGCAAGACCCTGTCTCAAAAATAAGATTTAAGAAAAAAGGACTGGGGATATATCTCAGAGACAGAATATTACTAAGTTCAATCCCAAATACCACTAAAAGAAAAAAATAATAATAAAATGAATTTTATGCTTCATGGTATTAAGCTTTCCCTGTATGCATGATGCTATAGAAGGTGGTATGTCTTTTCTAAAGTGTCAGTGAAAGTTTTATTGTGTAGTTATCTCAGAATATAAACAGAAGATATATTAGCCCTTAATGTATGTCATGAATCTTTTGTTTTTTTATTTTTTGCATCTGTCACTAAAACTACAAATAGTTAGCCGAGCATGGTAGTATGCATCTGTAGACCCAGCTGTTAGGGAAGTTAAGGCAAGAGGATCATTTGAGGCCAACCTAGGCAACAGTGAGACCCCATCTCCAAAAAGGAAAAAAAAAAAAAAAAACTACAAATAGTGTTTTACATTGACATGAATGTATAGGGTCTCTGTCTTAGAGAAGCTAAAGTCTGGTGACAGATGCAAAAAAATAGCATTTTTTAAGCCACTGGAATCAAAAGTCATCTGAACAAGCAGTGTTGAGATAGTTTGTTAAAAAGAAAAGAGACAACTCCTGAATCATTCTTTTTCTCATCTCACTCTTTCTAATCCCCAGGTCAATATTTGACTCATAGTTGCAATGAATGGTTAGCTTCAGTCAAAGTCCAAGTAAGATGCTTTATTTTTGGCTTAGGATGCTAGAACTCATAAAAATAACCCCCTTTCTCTCTCTGTCCCAGTGACCAAACAGATCCTTTTAACCGCAGTCCCCTCACCATGGATCAGATCCGGCCAAACACTGAACTAAAAGAAAAAATCCAACGGTGGCTTGCAGAGAGGAAACAACAGCAAAAGGAGCAACTTGAATAAATACTGTGAACTAAGCAAACCAAAAACCAACCCCAGAGTGTAGATAAACAATTGGTTTCTTTTTTTTTTTTTTAGTTCTGTTCCTTTCCTTTTTTTTTTCTTTCCTCCTTTTCTTTTTTCTTTTTTTTCATCTTCTTTATTAAATTTTAGAACTGCTTTTGCTCAAATTATGATAATTAAGATTTCTGAGAATTTGTCAGTGCTCCCCTGGCTTGCAGGAAATTATACTTCTTATAATCACCCAGTGATTATAAATCACTAATTTTCAGCCTTTTTTCTCTATTCCTATTTTTCCTACCTTATTAGTTCAACTGCTAAAACTTCCCTCCACTTTACTATTTTTCTCCCCAAGTACTGCCCAGACATTTTTAGTGAGCAGTACTTTGTAAGTCTGCAGTGTCACGTATTTCAATGACAGTTGATATAACCAGAAAATCCTGCATTATCCTGCAAATTTACTAGTCCTCATGATCTGGACTTAAGCCCTTATACTTGTTATAGCTCTATGATGTTACAAAACAACATTTCACATAAAAGCAGATACCTTGATGTTCGTGTTGACTTTTGAATAAGATGATAGATTTTTTTTAAAAGGAATCTTATGCAACTTCTGTTGATAGCTCTTAATTTTGTGTTATCTTGTAACTCAAGATATTATCACAAACACACACTCTCTCATGGGGTTGTCACCACCAAAACTTCAGCCCTGCAGCCTTTTTATGAGGATTAATGATTGGGCAAACTTGCATTTTAGACACTTAAGTCAAAAAATTATGGGGTGAAGGGATTAATAAACTATTAGACCTTTTTTCTCTTATAAAAATCTATTGTTACAAAGACTAGACCTGATTAGAAGTTAGGCAACAAATATTGTAAACATGAAAAACATCATATAAGACACTAATATCAACAGTATATCTCACACATACATACATACCATGTACTTTTTTATATTGGTATAATATAAATTGAGTGCCACTTTCTGTTGTCTCTTCCATAGTAAGATATATGCAGTGTGTGGCCATGTTTACTCAGATACTCATTCTAGACAGGTGAAATTCTGAGACTATAAAATGTATATATTTAATGTTTGTTTGGGCTTGTGGCCTGGCCTCTAAGAGCTGCTTCTAACATAGCCTTGGGTCATCAATTAATAAAGTAGGAATTTGAGCAAAACCTTGTCCACAAGCCATTTAGTATCCACTTAGCCCCAAGTAGTTAGTAAGTGGAAGTACCCCACTTTTACAAGTTGGGCCTGAGTTCCCTACTTAATTGTGTAGCTTAACATGCCAAGTGAGGGACATTCCCCTATGGATTGTCTTTACATTAGTATTCATCTAAGCCCAGAGATATCATAAGGGACAAGAAAAGTGATACAATTTAGAAATAGGGATCATTGCTTTTTTTAGAGGACATCGTTAACTACGGCCTCTTTCAAATATGATAGTAGTTTTACAATATTCTAGCACAAGTTGCTATAAGGAGTCCTTGATGTGTTTTTGATAATCAGCTGGAAAACTCAAATCAGATTGGGCCTACCACCCATGATAGAAAATAGACGTCTATTGCTGCACTTATAAATGAAAAGGGAATCTGGGACACCTGCAAAATGCCAGAATGTAAGATTAATTCATTGTGTTCCCCAGGCCTTTTAAGGTGTGGGTTGATAGGACTTATAAAGTCAGTTTCATTTCATATTTATTTTCCTTATTTTTTTTCTCTGAGAGTGACCTGTGTATAAAATAAACTTCTACGTATATGTACTTGCATTATCTTCCGAATCCAATCTAATAGGATGTTTTCATTTTAAGAAGGAGGAAAAAACAGTTTTGTAGAATAAAGAGGAAAATGGGCACAAAACCTCAGAAGGCAGCTGTTTGCAGAAGCTTTCTAGCTAACAACCTCTATGCTGCCTCCAGTATCTGTTTTGTACTTTGCCTTCAGATTGTACGCCTTTTCTGGCAAGCTTTTTTTTTTTTTTTTTTTTTTTGTAATATATAAAACTCTTTTCCTGAGCCTCTTTATGAATAGCTGTGGCACCATTAATGCTGCTGAATATCTTTAAACTTATCACAAAAGCAAGTGTGTAGCTTAAGGACACTATTGGTAAGGAACCAAGTGTCCTCTGTGCCTTCTTTCTTTCTGTGAAGTAACTTAGGATGTCAAAAAAATTGAGACATTAAATAAGTTATCATCTTGGTACAATATGGTGCATATATGCATTTGGATATGTAAGGAGGTGCTTTGTCCGGAACTCAGCAGCAGCTCTAAATCTTTAAGAGTAGATATGTGACATACATAGTTTTATGTGTTGGCTTTGCTGGAGTATGATAGGAAAATGAAGACTCTAATCAGCTCTGGTATTGCTCATAACTTACCAAGAGGCTAATACTTTGGAAAATTATTTAAATAGGTTTTATCAAGCAGTTTTTTTTTTTTTAGTATAGTTTTTAATATGTGAAAGCTGAAGGAAATTAGAGGTATTTTAATGGTGCAGGTGAAGGCACCTGTTGCTGTTTGGGATCACACCCTACAAAAGCTTCATGACTTTATTTGATGCTGGTTTCTAAGCAGCCACTGTACGGGGTATAAGTCTACTGGGTGCCTTTACAAGCCAGAGGCTGATGCTGCACTGTTGTCATGCAAGGAAATAATGTACATGCTCTAACAGCAAAACAGGAAAGGAACCTAGAAACAAAATGAAGAGCAAAACATCAAAATGGTTGACTAAAGTAAAACTTGATCAACATAACTATTTTGAAACATTCCAGGAAGGTTACTTCTTGTCCTACTTGCCTGGGGGTGTTTGTTCAAACTTGTATTTAATAAATGAACACCTGACTTACAACCTTTGTTGTCATTTTATTATAGTATTAAAAGCTAGTGGCAGTTTCAGAAATACCTCAAAAATCTAGAGGACTCTAACTTACGCTGTTTTTTGGTAGGTATTATCAAATAATTTGTGACCTAGCTGACCTAACCCAATTCATTAGGCCTCTGGGGGGACCCTGGAGTTACCTCAGAAGATGAGTCTCAAAACGTTTTTTTCCCAATTAGCCCCTGTTTGGCTCCATTTTCTTTAGCTGGCCTAAACCTCAGGTCTTTCATTTTAATCATTTTCCACCATGTTCTCCTTTATTGACCCCTTTTTGTTCTATAACCCATCCATACAAGACCTCAGCCTAGATTAATCCGGCTGTTCCCCTCAGCCCAGTATCCAAGAAAGAGACCACTGTTGGATCAAAACCAACCCAATTTTTTTAGAGTGGTGTAACCACAAACTTGTGGTCTTGAACATTTCCTGACAAACCTTCTGTGTGTCCTTAACTTAAACCTCTTTCCTCAAATTCTCTCACCCTACCCATTACCAGATGACATTGCTCTCTATTTCCCTGAGAACATAAGACTTCAGAGTCTCCACTTTCACGCTCTTCTCCCATCACCCCAATCGGTAGGAAAGGTCCCACTGTTCCCAGGCTAATTCCTCCACCACCTTTCCTGCCTCAGGGCTCTTGTGAATTCCCCTCCTCTGTGTTCGGTTTTCTTGAGTTCCACATCCCGCTTTGATTTTCTGACTTGTATTCCCTTAAAGCCACATTTCTTCACCCAATCACTCTGGCTTCTAGCCTGTTTTTGAAACGGCTAGTTAACGTCAAAGATTTTCATATTGCTAAGTTAACCTTTTCTTTATCTCTTAACCATTTCATCAGTTTTACTTTTGCTCATGTTTCGCCTGGATAACTTCTGTTCATCTCATCAAATATCATTTCTTTTTTATATATTTATTTTTTAGTTGTAGTTGGACACGATATCTTTATTCCATTCATTCATTTTTTTTTTTTTTAATGCGGTGCTGAAGATCAAACCCAGCGCCTCACGCATGCTAGGTAAGCACTCTACCGCTGAGCTACAACTCCAGCTCTTTATTCCAGTCATACTCAACTATGAAGTTTCAACCACCCCTCAAGGATCTCTAAGATCCACACCATGCCTATCTAATACTGATGTTTCCCCGCTTGGCGTTTACACTGCTACCTCTTCGTTTCCGAACTCTGCACTCCCTAGGTATTCATCGATCTCATTCCCGGTGAAGGTAATACCTAACACACCCACACTTTCGTTAAATTTCAGAAAAGCCGGCATATGGTCGCGGTGGCAGACGCCTGTAATCCCAGCGGCTTGGGAGGCTGAGGCAGGAGGATCTCAAGTTCAAAGCCAGCCTCAGCAATAGCGACGCACCAAGCAATTCAATGAGACCCTATCTCTAAATAAAATACAAAATAGGGCTGGGGATGTGGCTCGGTCGTTGAGTGCCCCTGAGTTCAATCCCAGGAAAAAAAAAAAAAAAAAAAAAAAAAAAGCCTGACATAAAGGAGCCCTCAATCAAAGGGATTTTGTCCCTCCTATCTGCACTGCACTGCTCCTTGTGACTAGTTAAAGAACTAAGGAAATTGGATTCCAATCTAGATACAAGACATTGACATTAGAAAACATCAATTAAAGAGGGGCCAAGTCCATGGGCTGGGGTTGTGGCTCAGTGGTAGAGTGCTCGCCTAGCATGCACTGGGTTCAATCCTTAGCACCACATAAAATAATAATAATAATAATCATAATCATAATAAAGATATTATGTCCACCTAAAATGTTAAAAGGGGGGGGGGGGCTGAGTCTAGTGATTTGGTTTGTAGTGTGCTCGGCACCCAACTTTTTGCACTTTTTGTTTGGCCTTGGACTCTCTCTGCCTCTAAAACAGTGTAGATCTAGGAGCATTTTAACGATGGCTTCCAGCCTTGACAACCTCAGAGAAGCTCCCAGAGCACCCTAAGCAAAACTGTGCGGGTCAGCGCCAAAAAAAAAAAAAAAAAAAAAAGCACGGACGCATGCGCACTTCCTCACCTCGCCGGCCTTCCGGGCCTCCGCGAGTGGCTGCCCCGAGAAATGCCTCTTTCTCTGAGGAATCCCATTATTTCCTATTTATCCTCTAGTGTCGTCTTTTCAAATCCACTTCCTGTCCGCGGCTGAAAAAAATAAATTGTCTGACTAGATTCCTCAAAGGCGCTAGGACACCTAAGTATCTTGAACCGGCGCGGAAAAGGGCGGCCTGACATTGGAAGTGGCACAGGGTCCTGCAGTGAGTCCTTCCGGGGGGTGACATTCAGCCGGCCTTTGGGGCAACGGACCTTCTGCCCTAGAACCATGGCCCAGTTCGTGCGTAACCTCGCGGAGAAGGCCCCGGCGCTAGTGAACGGTGAGCGCGGTGTGAGGCTGCCGAGGCGGGTACACGGGCTACGGGGAGGCCCAGAGGTCCCGAGGGGAAGAAGGGGGCTGTGGTGACCTGAGGGAGCTGCAGGAACCGGGGCGGGAAGGCCTGGCGGTGCAGGGAGCGGGTGGGAGGATTGTGACCCTCTGACCCTCATCTCCTCTGCTCTGCATCTTGGGTTCTCTTTACCACCTAGAAGGAGCTGAATTCTAACCACGACAGTGAAGAGGGGTAGGGGGAAGGAAGCCTTGAGTACCTCCCGGCCGGCGCCATTACGCCCCTTTAGATCCCCCAGAACAGGGAGGCAGAGGGGATGGCTCTGTTAGAGATAGGAAGGGGAAGGGCAGAAACTTGAGAAAGTACATAAATTTGACCTCATCGGGTAGTCTTGTTCTCATTGGAGAGTATTGAAAAGTCAGTAGAAATGTCGAAGCAGGGATGAGCTTTGAACGGTGCCTTTGTCTTCTGCCCTGCTTTAACCCAAGGGAAATTGTAGGCGAAATTGGACTTTATGGATGAGTGTCCCCGTCCCAATAAGCATTGAAAGGTTTTCGTATAAATAATATAATCTTTGTTATTATAGCTTAACATTCATGGAATTTTTTCAGTTCGAAGAACCTCACTGTAGCCCGCTATATACCAGAACAGTCCCGAATATTCACAGCCCTGAGTAATAGTCTGTTCTGTGGGTAAACCTTCAGTTGTTTTCTGTAAGTTATTCATTTTATTCCTAGAGTGAGATGAGCTAAATTGACGTTTCTTCATTAGTTGTGGTATATTGTAGTAAGTGGTTGAAGATCAGATTGCTAAATAGTTTTTATTCAAATTTATTCAAAATTGAATTGTGTCCAGAAAGCAGAATTCTGAAAAATACGTGCAATGTTTTTAAGCCTATTATGCTGTCTGATTTTCTTATTCATTCTCTCTTCACTTCATCACCAAACAATGAGTCAGTGAAAATCTTGCAGTGCCCAATAGTATATACTTGATTCTCTCTTCCTACAGTCTGTGTTCCCCACAGTCTATTGGTGAGACACGTTATACATTTTCCCATTTTATTTGCAGTTTTTATGTTACTGAGATCCTTGAGTTATCTGTTTAAAAAGCTCTATACTTTTGTGTAAATAAAAAGAAAAATGCTTCAATCTTTGGACTTTGTGGATAATATAAGGCAAAACTTTTAATAATTTCAAATGGATTTTTTTCCTAGTGGCTTTCACATATTGGGAAATGAACTAGTTTCTGTGATAAAATTCAAAAGGAAAAGTATTAACAAAATAAATTTTTGTTATGAAATATATAATCCCTACTGGGCATGGTGTGCACACCTGTAATCCCAGCAACTTGGAGGCTGAGGCTGGAGAATCACAAGTTTGAGGCCAGCTTTGGCAACTTACGAAGACCCTATATAACTCAGTGATAAGAGTGCCCTGGGTTCAATCCCCAGTATCACAAAAGAAAAAGAAGTGTGTTTGTATGTGTGTGTGTGTGTGTGTGTGTGTTGTGTAAATCCTTTTCCTCTGTTATTGTGAACAATTGAAAGATAACTTCTTATTCTTCCAAAAGTACTCAGAAAGGAAGAATTCACTAGGCTCTGAATGTTGAAATGGAAATGTATCTTGCTTTATAGAATAGGCCTGTGTGTTAAATGTAATTCCAGGATCTAATTTAGGATATCACATTTAGTTGTTATGTTTTCCTAGTCTCCTCTGATTTGTGACATTTCCAATTTTTTCCTCATCTTTCAAAAGACTTTGACTGTCTTGAGATGTCTGTCTATGTATCCTGAAGAATATCCCTCAATCTGGATTTATCTGCTGTTTCTATCATGATTAGTCTGGAACTATGGATTTTGAGAAAGAATACCACAGAGATGAGATACCCTCAGTCTATAGAAAGGTATATTTATATAATATCACTTGTAATAGCTTTTATTCCTTGGTTTAGGTAGCATTTCATATATTCCTCCCCTGTAGAGTTATTATTTTCCCTTTCTATATCTTTGGGGTTTCCTGTGGTGGTAGTGGTTTTTTGTTTGTTTTTCAGTACTGGGAATTGAGCCCAGGGTTGTCTCCCCAGAGCTTCATCCCCAACCCTTTTTACTTTTTAATTTGAAGCAGGTCTCACTAAGTAGTCTAGGCTGGCTTTGAACTTGTGATCCAGGTCCTGCTTCAGCCTCCTGAGTATCATGTGCTACCGCATGCCTGGCACTAACTCCTACCTTATGTTTAGAAGCAAGTAACTATGTCTGGCCCCTGGGGTAGGAGGGTTTGCAGCCAGAAACCAGGGTGGTTGGATGGTCCATTTCCTGTAGGGGGGAATATCTGCAAATATTAAATGGAATTCTTCTATAAGAAAAATTTGTCTCTTCTTCATTTATTTACTCAATCACTTACTGTATTGGCTCATTTACATTTATTTCACATTTTGCCTATCCAATATTCTTTATTTTTTGCTCAAATTGGCCATTGAGAACTGTTTTAAGTTGGCATTTCTGTTCCTTTGATGTGCCCCCTTACTTTCTGAAGTTTCCAGTCTTTCCTCATCTTTCATGATCTTGACCCTGTTGGGGTGTCTATCTCTGTATC